ATTCGTCGGAGAAGCGTTTGTGCGAGATGATTCTCGTGGCGCTTGATCTGCTCTGCGGCTGTGCTGACGGCAGAGCGGAGCTATTGAACCACGCGGCGGGGATCGCCGTCGTGTCGAAGAAGATTCTCAGAGTTTCGTCGCTTGGAAGCGAGAAGGCCGTCGGAATTTTGTGCTCTATTGCGAGATTCTCGGCGAGCCAATCCGTCGTTCAGGAAATGGCGCGGCTCGGAGTTGTGGTGAAGCTCTGTTTTCTGCTTCAAGTCGTCGGCGCCGGAGCGAAAGCGAAAGAGAAGGCGAAAGAGATTCTAAAGCTTCATGGTCGAACATGGCGGAATTCTTCATGTTTTCCTTCGAGTTTGCGACCTTCTTATCCATTTTAGGTTTTTTTTTTTTTTTTTTTTTCCCAAAACTTCATTTCTTTCAAAGTGCATATAGTTAGAGCTGATTGAAATTGGATGATTTAGGTTACAAAAACTTGTATATATTTTTTTTGTGTAAATAATTTGTTGAATAGTATAATTTAAGTAATTGGATACTAACGTCTATAGACATATCAATACTAATTCTAGTACATAAAACCAAAAGTCATTCCTGACCGCTTTTGCACCTGTTTCTCCTTAAAGGAGACCAATTTATTTCTTGCGGGACTTTGTAATCTAGGACCTCCTTCCAAATATCTTATCCGCGATTCCTCTTGGTTTTTCGGGACTGCCCCGAGGAAGTGAGGAATATCATCCACGCGAAATTGGAATCCATGAATTCAAGAGATTTATGAACTAAATCTTCAGAATTCAAGAGATTCATGAACTAATTCTTCGTGACAATTCTCAACGGATAGTGTTAAGAAAACAAATTTATAGAACTAATGCGACTTTAAGCATAGCTTAGGGGTCGAGTAGGTTTCAATACCCTCCCTTTCATTTGTTGTTCTCAAAGTTGGTTCAACGAAAGGCAATGAAAATGAAAGAAAAAATATTGGTTAAAGGTTTATATGGGTGATTTAAAGTATAATAACGGAGAATAAGAGTTAGAATGCAGAATTACCGAGTGTTAGCAGTTGGGAAATTGATAGAGGAAATGTTAGCTATTGGGATAATTCGAGCGTTTTCCTATTCCAGTAGTAGAAGAACTCCAGGATGAGTTGAATGGATCCTTCGTTTATTCAAAAACTTATATGAAATTTGGTTACCACTCAATTTGCAACGGGCCAAGTCTACTGGTAGCAGATATTGTCCTCTTTAGCCTTTCCCTTTCGGGTTTCCCCTCAAGGTTTTTAAAACGCGTATACTAGGGAGAGGTCTTCACAGCCTTTTAAAGAAATGCTTTTTTTCTCCTCACCAACCAATGTGAGATCTCACAATCCACCCCCTCTTTGGGGCTCAGCATCCTTGCTGACACTTGTTCCCTTCTCCAGATGTGAGACCCCCCAATCCGCCCTTTTTCAGGATCTAGTGTCCTTGCTTGCACATCGCCTCGTGTTCACACCCCTTTGGGGCTCAGCCGTCTCGCTGACACATCGCCCTGTGTCTGGCTTTGATACCATTTGTAATGATCCAAGCCCACCGCTAGCATATATTGTCTTCTTTGGACTTTTCCTTTCGGATTTCCCCTCAAGATTTTCCACACGTTTATAAAGAATGTTTTGTTCTCTTCCCAACCGATATGGGATCTCACAATCCACCCCTTTCAATAGGTCTTTACATGCTTTCATCTCAGATAGACCTTTACTACTTCAAGTTGTGTCAACACAAGGGTGTATGACTATTCATTAAAATCATGTCTACATCCGCCAGAGCTAAAATGTCTCAAAATGTACTACAATAAGGGATATGACTAATCGACACTTCTTCTTACCCGAGTTGTATACTATCAAAGTCATTGTCTATCGCTTTTAGCTTATAACAATGTTTTCTTTCAAACGTTTTCTAAAACGTTCTTCTCAAGCGTGACTCGAGGCTCGAGTATACGTCGATGTTATCTGCGAAGTCTAAATTTCTCACGACTAACTTGTTCGCTAAATTAGAACAAGTGTTAGCACAATCGTTTTTCTAGTGGAACTTTTAATTATTTAATTTTAAAGTTGCATTTGGTTGAAATTAGGACATATAAACATTACAAAAGTCATGTAAAAAGTAAAAACTGTAATGAATTTTGTTATGGGCTGATCACCTGTGAGCCCATATGCTTGAGCCCACCTAAGCCCTTTAGGCTCACATATCCTAAAAAAAAAAGCACCCTCGAAGGCTCGATTCGTCGAGTCAAGGCACGCGACCGACTACCCAAAGGAGAACATAGCCACCGAGCCAGCCTAGGAACCATGTCGAGATGTGTGGCAACTCCCTCGTCATCGTCCCTTGATCACTTTATGATATTAATAACTAAATCAAAAAGAAACCGTATAAATATAGGAACCCATGTACCAAACTAATTTATGCTAAACTCGACATCACGTTGTTCTAGCTACTAAGTCAAAGCGTCAGAGAGTTTCGGTAAGATACTACTTCAGTATGATATCTTTCTTTTGGAAGACCCTCAAATTAGGTCTACAGATCCGACCCAATCTGATCTGCCCAGGTGACTAGATTCTATTATAGTGTCTACTTAATACATTCTAATGCTTATAGCCGAACAAAAATCTGAAGTAGGTGAACTATTTTAATACATAACCGAGCATATCTCAAGTAATTTTGTTCTTCGATCTCTATATGTAAGAATATATATAAGAAAAGCGTAAATATCAACTCAAGTAATTTTGTTCCCGAACCTAAACAACTTAGCTAAGAGCTTGGTGACTAATGAAAGGGAATGTCCACCCATGCTTGATAAGTTATTCCCACCTTATCGGTCTCTTGTTCTCTCATTCCACAAAATTTAAATAAACTACTGAATTTTATTTCCAACGAGGCGCGGAATCATGGGACCTCTGTATGTATGTATGTCATGTGCATCGAGATATTTCCCTGTTATGTTTGTTAGTACGAACGTATACCTTCGATATTTATGTTTGTCATGATATCATGCAAGTTTTTCCTTTTCTAAGGCGTCTAGTGACGTGTAATGCATTGTGCCAGACCAAGTTAGGTCCAGAGGTACATATACGAGCACACCTGGTGGGTCCACGTACACGTATGTGGGTAGTGTGTTGAGAAAGAGCATAAGGTCATGTTATGGTCTCTATCATGTTACGTGTGCGATAACATTACTAACCTCAACAGTGGAGTGACTTACTGAGTATTTCTTAAAATAATTAAGCCACGTGCTACCCTAAGCATGCACGTAATAACGTAATAACATCACTAATTTAGGGTAAGAAAATTAGGGGTGTAACATACATCCTCGAAAAATTTTCAAGAGGCCACCAACATATAATTGATCCAAATAAAGCACGTTTAACTTTAAAGGTCTTATAATTGAGTCATCGAGAAGGAATGTGCACTTTGTTAGTATTGGTAGTAACTTTTCTTAGTTATCCTATTCTCATGATCGCTCACGTTCAGATATGGTCTTCGGTTCATTCATTTACTCCCTTCTTTACTCGGGTGTCACATTTATGTTCCCGAGCAGTAAGCGAACAATAATAAAAAGCGATATTGGTTAGCGGGTTTTGAAATAGGAGTAAAAAAAGGTAACTTCGAATTTCCTCTTTACTCTCACATGAACCATTCTTCTCTTTCAATAACAAATACTTACCTTTAATTAATTTTTCCCGGTCACGATATCATGCACTCTCGGTTCACGAAATCGTGCACTCCCGATTCTGTTCACTTCAGTTCAGCTCGATTTGGCTTTATATTGGTTGTTGAGCGTTTTTTTGTTTTACATCCACATCTCTGCTCGTTTTGTCACGACTTTCTCGATAGTGTCTTGCTAAGAGAGCGTTTATCTCCCTCTTAACGAGTGTTACGTGAAGGGTTATATACTTTCCTTTTCTTTCATGCCCAAATCGCTCCTGATATTTTTATATAAGGTAATAAGGAATAGAAATTTGTCGTAACGTGACTTTTCTTGTGTTTGAATTGAATTAGCGGGTAGATACAATGAAAAACGAGGGTGAGCAGAATCCTTTCAGTAACGCTCTTATTTTGTATTTATTGTTCTTCCGTTTCCGTTTTGTATGGCTTATTTTCTGCTTGAAGAAAGGAAAAGATACATTACTTATATGGTAATCGTTTCAGATTTTTCTGCGTCGGATTTCATTTTTGCTTACCGAGAGAGTTTTACGGATAAAGTTGTATTGAAAAACTAAAATATCTTAAATTATATTATTTTTAATATTTTTTTAACGTGTAATTACAATTAACCTAATATCAGGATTTTAAGCTATGAAAACCTCATGCATTATACGTGTCTTATGCATTAAGATACTTACTTGTTATGATTAGTATGGACGCGTACCTTAAGACTTACGACATATATGTTCACATGTTATGCGGACCCTTTTCCATTCGTGGTGTCTGGTAGCCTATTAATGAATGTTAGGCCAACGAGCCAGGCCTAGGAGATACACATGCCTTATGTGCGTGTGCATGGACAATGTGTAGAGAAATACTACACATCCAACCTTGTCTGGACGGGAAAGCTGCCTAAAGTCATGCCATGATATTTTTATAAAGATAGATCCCACCATATCGCATGTGTTTGCGTTTTCTAACTCCAATAGTCGGGTTACTTGCTGAGTAAGTAAGTATTTTTTAAAATACTCGAACCACGTACTAGTCTTATCTTTTAGGTAAAGGTAAAGGTAAAACACTCATATACGGATGACAACGTCACAACCCTCGGTTCACCCTAATCCCTTATCTGCCCCTTTTTATATTATTTTTGAACCATAGACAACGTGATCTCGAGAAAAGAACATGAAAATTTTTGTGGGAATCAAAATTGAAACACGGGACGAGGGCAAGAATAGGAACTAAACCTCGAGCTCTATCCCTATGGAGTGAACGTGTCTAATCAAAATTTATAATTTTACGAAAAAAACAAAAACAAAACAAAACTTCTAACAGAAAACTAGAGAATTTTATAGACGGTGGACGAGATAGAGACGCTATATACACACACATAGCATACGATAACATAACATAACATATTAACACACGCAACGAAAAGCAATAAACTTAAACTCATAGTTTTTTAAGTGTTCATGCAGCCACAGCAGCTACATGAACTATACCATTGCTCTCATCATATGGTGAGCTGGTTTTATTATTATTCAGTTCTCCCAGAACTCCAGATCCTCCATGCTCGCCGCCTCGAATGATGTCGATATGTTTGGCATTGTCGACCATGAACCTTCTTCCTCCATTTTGCACTCTGGCAGCGCTTCCACCGGCATTCCCATCGGCTCATTGATCGCCAGCTGATCGAAGGGGAAGAATCCAGTGTCGAGAGTCGGCAGCGGGTAAGTGTTGATTGGCGGAATCATCATCGGTGGGATGCTCGGCGTCGGAAATGGAAGCTTCCCGACAGGCAGCTGCAGCTGGTGATCAGTTGTATCAATGGGGTTGTAATATTCAGATGGTTCCGGCGGCTTCCACTTCGGCTCACCGATGTCGAACCCAACGGTGATCGGAAAATCAGCAGGCATTGGATTCATCATAGGGAAAAAGTTGGGGATTTGAGACATTGTTGTCGGAATTCTTGCCGGTGCCGGAGTGTTCTTGTGAAAAACACGACAAACAACCCAATCCTCCTGGAAATTAAATTCAAAAAAATTAAAATTAAAATTTCAAAAATTGAACCCAAAATAATAAATAAATAATCTGATACTGACTTTTGGAAGGTCAGGGAGCCTGGGTTCGAGACGGAACTCATGCATGACCCAATTGGTTTTTTCACCATGGGGAGCTCTTCCTTTGTAAAAAACCAAGGTTTTCTTCATTCCGACCAGAACGGTTCGTCCATTGAGAATCTCTCGGTCTTTTCCAGTGGCTTTCCAGTAACCGGTCTGAGTGGCCCGGTTGGTTCGCATTCCGGTCGGATATTTCCGGTCCCTTTGATTGAAAAAGTACCATTCTTTCTCCCCCATCTTGGCCATCTCTGTAAAATTATAAATAATTAATTTTAAATTAATTTTTTTAAATGGGAAATTTAAACGAAAAAAAAAATCCCCACGTGGCAGTTCCCAAGGCTCGGATTTGTTGAAGTCAGCTTCGGCGATGGCGGCGGCGGAGAAGGCGGGGTTGATGATCTTCTTTGTCAGGTAAAAAGCGATGAGCTCCAGGTCGGTGGGGTGGAAGCGGTAGCCGGGGGGCAAATCCACGGCGGGGGTAGGTGGTGGCTCTTCCATGAGAGACGGCGGAGAGAAATAAGAGAGAGATGCTGAATGAAGGTATATTCATGAATGAAAGAAGAGGGTTATATATATAGAAGTTCAGTGGGGTTAATTTCATGAATTATAATGTCCAAATAAAAAAATAATAATAATAATAAATAAGAAAATCGTATACATGGTAATTGGTTTGGGTTGCTCCGGGTTGTCGGATGTTCGTATGTGAGTCTGTCATACGTCACGTGCCATAAATCGTGTTCCATGGTTTTTTTGTTAAAAAGCTTGTAGCTTACCAACAAAATTTATAATTATTACCGCGTGAATTTTATGACCGGATAACTGAACCCACCTCGATTACTCAACCCGAGTTATAAATGTTAAGTCGGGTTGGGTTAGATTTTTTATTTTTTTTCCATTTCGGTCGGGTTGAATTTTCGAAAAAATCGAAATTTTCGATTTGGTCTCAGTTTATTTGTGTACCTCTCCTTTACTTGGGTACCACATGCCCACTAGCTTCCGCCTTCGTTCATTCCTAAATCACAATCTTACTGGGAGAGATCATACTCTAATACCATTTGTAAGGCTCCATGGTCAAAATTCTGTATCTCCCGTGACATGACTACATTACCTACTTGTCTTGAATTGCTTTTCGGAGTGTAAACTATTTTGAAGGCCGGGCATGCTTTTTGGGAAAGTTTCCGGGAAGTCACTCAAGATTGTAATGCTCAAAGCTAAACACGCTAAACTTTTGAATTTCTATGATTGGTATAAATAGTAACTTTCAATTCTTTTAACCATTTCTTAATCATTATATCCTTCATACTACTCTCACTTAGATGTGGTCTCGGTTCATTCATGTAGGTCTTATTTGTTCGGACGTTACAAGTGTTGGGATTGGAAGAATACAATAAAAAAAGGAGAGACGGGCAGCTATGAGAGGTCGATGACAACATGAAGGAAGAAAGGAAAGTTTTAGGGTTTTGTTGGGGACCATAAAATACGTGCACCCAATCACGAGTACCAGTCTAACTCGTGTACTATATATACGAGTAATATAAACTCGTGTAATTGATATATGAGTGACTGATACACGATTATTATTGATTTAAAAAAATAAAATAATAAATACAATTATTTATTCATATTCCATTAAATAAAAATAGTTAATTAATGTTTAGTTTGTCATGAAGTTAATAGTTAATAAAATAATAATATTTAGAAAGTTAAATTTAATAGTAATTTTGATATATAAGTGTAATGAACATAATAATTAAATAAACAAATAATATTTTTTTAAGAATTAATTTGGGTCGGATTAATTCGAGTTAATATTATTTCATAAAATATTTATTTATTTATTTTAGACATTTAAGATTTACAATTTAATTTAAATATATTATTTGAAAATATCTTTTAAATAATTCAAGACTCATTCGAGAATAAATAACAATAAAATAATTATATAATAAAATAAAATAAAATAAATATAGGTATATAACCGATTAAATTTCAAATGATTTTGTCACAAATAAAATAATTAATGTTAATCTTCTGATTAATTGATTTAATATATGGTATCTATCAGTCTAATTAAGCTGCATATTTTAAATTATGACATTACAATTATTAAATTAATTTAAATTATGCCAAAATAGTTAAAATAAGGATAATTAATATTTTTAATATATTTATTATTTTATTATAGAATTTGTCATAAATAACATTTTGGTAGGTAAATATTAAAAAAAAATTGTAAATATAAAAATTGTTCTGTAGTTATTATTATTATTTTTTATTTTTATTTTTATTTTTATTTTTTTTGTGAAATTAAAAGTTTTGAAAATTTAAGTCAAAATTCAAAAACTCAAAAAAAAAAAAAAAAAAAAAAAAATTAAA